GCCCCTGTCTGTGGAACTGCCCGGTACCAAGCTTATAGAGCAGCCGTCAAGCTGGCTGCTTCTACTGAGATGGTGAAAATAACCTGTTTGGACTGTCATGAATCTCTGACAGAAGTCAGGGTGGGTGCTGAGACAGGATGCCCATTTTCCCTCCACTGGAAATAAAGAACACTCTCTATATCCTGGCTGCTGGGAGTACCCCAAAATATACTACGGTATGCCCCTCTCAAATTTCCTCAGCAGAAGGAGGCCCAGATCACACCAGCTTCCAGGATGGAATACATCCATGAATGGCTTTTGTGGGTGCAGAGATGACCCTTCATTTTACCTGGGACGGGGCTGGACCTCCTCATTTTTGGTGTCATTGGAGGTCAGATTTTCCCTCTAGCTACCCCTAGTCAAGGACTCTTCCTAATAAGTCTCCTATAGGCTAAGCCCTAGCAGAGCTGCTTCCCAGAGGTCCCACGAACAGTAACTATTCACATCCCACACCCAGCTGTTTTTTAAAGGAATTCGTCTTGGATATGCCATGTTTACACTTGAGTCCTGTGGCTCCTCAATCCCCTTCCTATATTCTTTTTTTTTAAATTTAAGATTTATGTATTTATTTATTTTATGTAGGATGAGTGCTCTATCTGCATGTACACCCGCATGCCAGAAGGTGGCCAGCTTTCTATGTAGGGGTAACGTGACAGCACCCCACACTGCATGGCTCCACTGGGAGGCAGAATCTAAACTCATTCCTGGGATTCTCTCCTATGGCACTAGTGATACCAGGCTGGCACCCCATTAGACAGAAGTCAACTGCCCCTCAGATATCCCTCAGGATGTTCTTTTCTCCGTAGGGCTCACAGGCTAGCAAGGAGAGGTGGTGGCATCCAGGGGGTAGAATGGTAAACTAACTTGACCTCTGCCTCCCAACAGTGAGAATGGCCTGAGTGAACCCATGCCATGAGCCCCACAAAGCCAAGTCTATGCCCTCCGCTGTGGCTCCTGACCAAGCGCAGCCTGAGCTACCCAACTGGGCTGGGTGAGGGAGGAGCCTGAGGTATGCATTTGTGCTGTGGCAACACCTGGGGCTCATGGCCAGGTTGGGCTCTTTAAGATAAGACCTGGAGGCAGTGTGGGGAGAGAGGAGCCCTCACCCTCTCCTTCTGTGGCCCTTTCCCCTCCACAAGATAAGGGAGGCAGGAAGCTGAGGATGTGGAGGTGAGATGACAGTGCCAGATTGGCTTTCCCAGGCTTATCGCCCGATCCGAGGCATGTTTCGCCACGCCGGGGCTGTGGGAATGGTACTGGCAGATAGGACTTGCACCTCTGCTCTGATTTCAAAGTTTTTCCTCACGTTCCTAAATGCTCTGTCTGTAGGCGCTACCGCCAGTGCTAGCACTCAGCCTGCAAGAACCTTCTGGGCTGTTCTGACGTTGGAAAATATGTGTGGGCAAGAGTTCCTAGCTGCCTAAAAAGTACAGTGGAGAAGACGAAGCAGCTGACAGGACCCTCACGCTACACCTCTAGGCCAGCTCCATGAGTGTGCGGCCTGTGCACTCCTGTGTGGGCCCCAGCCAAAGCCTCCCACCTCATTTCAATGCTCGGCAGATGCCTTGAGACTCATAATCAGACCTGTTCCCATTCAGAGACTCTATAAGCCATAGAGCTTATCCCTACATTTACTCCTGGGGCCTTAACCTCTGGCAGAAGAGCTGGATGGTAAACCCACTAGACTCTGCCCTCTCTCCTATTCCCAGTGCCCACCAGATATCTGGACCAGCAAAGAGGTCCTCAAGTCTCTGAAACCTTCTCCCATCTCCCAACGATGCTCACACACCACCAGTCACAGAAGGAATGAAGAGCCACCTCTGCATGCTAGGCTAAGTGGTCTTTGAAAAACAAAAGCAGTGCACCCTGCTCCTCACAAGTAAGGGAAAATGTTCCCCAACACATCCTCTGAGGCTGAATCTCACCCCTGTCAATGCCCAGTCATGTGACACAAGTTGTTGGCCCTCTCGGAGCCCAGAGAGGGCAAACCTGCCCCTGCTATTCTGTGAGTGTTGAGGCAATGAACGCTGTAGGAGGCCCAAGGCCTGGCACTGAGCACTCCCAAAACACTCTCTTCAACTGGTATTCATAAAAGAAAGCCATGGGATGAAGAGATAGCTCGGTGGATAAAACACTTAGTATGCCAAGTATGAAGACTGGGGAGTTCAGATCCCTATCACCCTCATAAAAGCTGGGTGGGTGTGGTGGTCTGTCGGTGAACTCACTTGGGAGGGGAAGAGAGGAGATCTCCCAAGGTGAGCCTGCTGAATCACTAGCTGAATCAGTGAGAGGGCCAGCCTCAGTAAATAAAAATGGAGCGTGATCAAGGAAGGCATCTGACGTTAACCTCCAACTTCTCTACCTGCCTCACACATGTAAAATTTGTGTGCATGCATGTGTATGTATACACCCACAGAAGGAGAGTGGGAGAGGGAGAGCAAAAGGGTGAGAGAGCTGGGAAAGTAGCTCATGCTGCAGCCCATGGATGTGATCCCAGACCCTGGCATAAATAAGAAAAGGACACAGTCACCATGACAGAGCTCAGAATCCTCCTGAGACTGTGAGTTCTGCCGTTGACTGCCGGAAACCTCATTTAGACGGGATCACTCACCCAGAAAAACCTGTTCCCATCTGGGCACACAAAGCAAGAGGAGACTTTGAAATCAGTAGCCTTAGGCTAGAAGTTTCTCAAGTTACCACTTTTGAGGCTTGGCATCTCAAGCCACAAAATAGTATCGATAATAATCGCGAGAGCGAACGCTACTGCACGATTATTCTTGGCCCTACACTTGCCATATGCCACTATTAAAGTGGGTGCCTGTTCCTGGCTGGGGTTTTCTGTCAACTTGACACAAGTTACAGTCATGTAAGAAGAGGAACCTCAGCTGGGAAGTGCCTCCATGGGATCAATGGTAGGCAAGTCTGTGCGGACATTTTCTTGGTTAGCGATTGATGTGGAAGGAGCCGGCATCCCTAGGCAGGTGGGATAAAAAAGCAGTCTACACAAGCCATGAGAGAGAAGCCAGTGATTAGTGTCCATCCACAGTCTCGGCTTCAGTTCCTGCCTCGGCTTCCTTTGATGATAGACTGATGTGGAAGTGGAGGTTGAAAAAAACCCTTTCTTCTCTAAGTTGCTTTTGGACATGGTGTTTCATTACAGCACTAAAAACTGCCCTATTATTATTTTCACTTTATAAATGAACAAACAGAAGAGGCATAAAAATGTGCCGTAATTTCTCCCAAAGTCACAACACTTCTCCAACTCCCAAGATGGCAAAGAAACAAGAAAATTATGCTTTGGCTCCACATTTAACAAATGTTATATATATGTCTGTGTGCCTGTGCGTCGTGTATAAGCGTGTACATACAGATGCCCATGGAGGCTAGAAGCTTTGTATTTCCTTCTCCTGGAGCTACAGGTCATAGTCAGTGACCTGAAGTGAGTAGTGCTGGGAACCAAACTGTGGTCCTCTGACCCAGCAGCAAGTTCTCTTAACTGGGTCATCTCCCTGGCCCCTCTACATCTGCAGACAGAATCACTCTGTGTTACCTAGGCTGATTCTTCTGTCTCAGCATTCTGGACAAGGGAGGCTACAAGCCTGCGGAACCACAGCCAGTGTGGTACTTAGGCAGCGGTAACATCACAAGGACAATGCTGACGAGGACAGAAAATAATCACAAATTGTACACCACAGGCACACCTTTCCTCCCTGTACCTTTCCAGCTTTGTTGCCAGGGTAGCGGGGGAGGGGAGAGCACCTATGTATTTTTGTTTTCCTTCCTTGCCTTCTCTCTTCATCCTCTACCGTGCCCTGGTCCATCCAATGCTCAACTTCCCATCTTGAGAATGCTGCTGAAAGCTGGGTTGCCAGCAACAGCAGGGCAGGATGTGCGGGTTTCTCCCGGGCCCCCTTCATTCCTTCCTCCCTTTCACTCCGCTGCTTCCCCAGACCGGAAAGCGGTACAGACAGTCAGCACTGGGAAACTGCCTCTAATCACAGGTGACAGCAGGAACGTAAACAGCAGCAGAAACATCTAAATGCAATAGATGTGGCAAGGAAACAGCTCTGCGGGTTCACTCAGGGCTCCTTCCCTGGAGAACAGCCCACACCCTTTCCTGCCACTCTTCTTCAGAAGCGCTGCTCATTAACACCCTGTTAATGGGAACCCCAGAAATGTGGGACCTCCTGAGCACAAAAGAAAGGAGCGCTAAGCCATAACTTCCTCCGGCTTTTACCTCAAGGAGGATGTTCTAGAGTCCAACCCCATTTTCCATCCGAAGCAACATGGCTTTAACATGTTCTGCTGGCAGGGGTTGCTAAGAGTGCTCTTTGACAAACCTGTTCAACATCAGGGAATCCGTTCATAAGCAAAGCTCAGACATCGTGCAAGTCACCTCAAAGCTCTGTGCACCCACACTGAATGAGACACATTCTCAAGTCACCCATTGAATGAGACATGGATTGACCAGGAAGAACAAGTAAGTACAGATGTCCCCTAAGCACTGTGAGGCTCCCAGGACATTTCCAAACCTGCAATTGCAGTAATCAGGGAAGCAAGCAAGTTTTCTCCACCTCCCCCAGCTCATTCTGCGGGTTGACAGTCTGCTCTGCAAACCACCTCCTTTGACGCAAATGGAGACGCCGACTGAGTAATCACTATGAATAATTTCCACGAGGGTCACTGAGTACTGAGGTTGGCAAGGGCTGAGAGAGCCAGGATGGGAAAGGCAAGGTGACTGAGTGTGCGGGGCATAGCTGCTCAGTTTAGCGGGATGTTCCCTAGCCAAGACGGTTTTCATCCGGATTCCTGAGGGCCTTCTGTTATTAATATACAGTCATGTCTACTTGCTGGGTTCCGCACCTTCCTGGTAGCTTTTGTCGATGAGCTGGGAGGTGGGAAGTGCTAACGCCCGGGAGAAGACGGAGGGGCAGCTTTCTTGCACGGGGGGGCCATCTTACCTCTGTGCCTGTTGGTGGTCTTGTCAAACATCAGCATCGCATCCTCCACCTGAAAACAAGCACAGAACAACAGCTACTTCAGGGCTTTTTGTGGAACACACAGGACATTATGAACACAGACCGTGTGGGGGTGAGCGAGCTAGTTTCTACTACTAAAGTAATAGTTGTTCAAATAAGAAAATACCTGTAAAAGGGAGAAAAGAAACAAAAACCCCCTGTGGGTACCTGTACTCACATCACAAACAAATACACTTCCCCCTGCCTGTAATTAAAAATAATATATATATTTTTTAAATCCATGCCTCTTTTAGAACTGTATTATACTGAACTATTTGTGGAAAGTTACTGTCTTTTTTGTTGTACAAAAGACACTACAGTATAGCAAGTATTACACCCAGGTCACTACACTTTGATAGCTGGACAGTGTTCCGCAGCGCAAGAGGCCACAGTTCGCTTCCCTTCTGGCGTCATTGAGCTTGTTCAGTCATAGACAACAGACTTCACTCAGTAGCAGTGTCAGTGTCTTCACTCTCAGGTGCTCCCTAAAACTTATCAGTTAAAGTCCTAATTCCTAGTACTGTATGGGTGACTGGGTCTTTATTTTATTTTATTTTTTTAAGATTTAAAGTTTTTATTTATGTGTACACACGTGTATCTGTGTAGTGTGTGGGTGGGTGCCTGTGGGAACCCCAAGAGGGGGTTGGATCCTCGGGCACTGCCGTTACAGGTGGTTATGAGTCGCCCGACGTGGGTGCTGGGAAACCCAAGTGGCTCCTCTGTGAAAGCAATAAGTACTCTTAACCTCTGGGCCATCTCTCTGCCCAAACCTGGTCTTTAAAGCAGCAACAAAATTAAGATGACATCATTAGGGTGGCCCTTGTTCCTATAATGTGAATGGTGTCCTCAAATGAGGACATGAGGTCAAAGACACACACACACACACACACACACACACACACACACACACACACACA